TTACAATTACAACAGAAATACGACGTATATTTCTGAATGCGAAATAAAAATTAGCAATAATTTGTCGAGGCATACCTCAATAACTCTTTGTTGTAATGGCTTAATGGAGTAAGTAAATTGAGCTTAATCGTGCAGGAAGCTTTGGCTATTAGCTTAATGGGACCGAATAAAAAATATTCTGAATTACATATTATTTACATTTATTAAGTAGCAATATATTTTTTTAACAATCATAATCATCATCGAACCCGCCTCAAACCTTGCTAACTCAACTATCGAAGAAAAATCTAAATTTTACAGTTTTGTAAAATTTGCTTCGAACTGTCTGCCATAGAACTGAGAAAGAGTAAGTTTACTCAAAACAAAATTAAATAAGCTTATACGAGTACAACATACATTCGTACAACTATCGACTTCGTAAGAGGCTCCTTATACTTCCGAAGGGTAATCAATGATCATGTAGAATTGTAGAAGATACATAATCTACTCATTGATATTTTGCACTGACGACGAAAAAATAGCCTAAGATAATCTTCATACCTCTATCTACGAAGGTATATAAATACAATTATTATCGTCGAATTCATTTGTCTTGGTAATACAAAAAAAGTCAATAGGAATATCATTCTTTAATACTTTTCGTGCATGTTGAACTCACTTTAGTTTATTATTAGCTTTTGAGTGGTGGTTATATTCATAAAAAATAGATACACATTTTATTTTGAGGCTTTAAATCGAATTAGGCAGGGACAATATTGAATTTTTTTCACTAACTCCTGATTTAAACCTCTATATCGCAAAAACCTTATCACTTAGCTTTACTGCTACACAGTTGATACACTGTATGCCTACATAATAACAAAATCTAAAAAACATATACATTATACATTGATATAAACTCATCAGGTATGAATTTATAAGGCACAAGACAACTGGAACGCGGAGTCGTGAATGGTGTTTTATCTGCTGACATGTTTTCTGCTATTTTTGGATTACTATGGATGGCACCATTATACCATATTTAGTAATAAAATAAATGTAAAATAACGTTTATAAATGATTTTGATTGAATGTTTGAGTCGACAAAAAGAGAATATTGTTTTTTTTTTCTTAATTTTTCCGAGATTATCGTCAATATAGTTAGAACTATGTGAACTTACTTAAAACTGTTTATTCCAATTCAAAGTTAATACATTCAAAAACGCATAATATTAACTACTACATCCCCCCTCAAATGGTTTTGTTCTGTTTCACGGCATACTTTGAAACCTGTACACAGTAGCAAAGGCGTTGGTTTTTGTGTCATGCGTTAAATCTGTTAAACTGTCATAAGTCACTTTAACTCTTAGTTTGCATTCTACATCGTACCTACAAATTTGATAACTTGGCCAATTTGAGCTCACATCCTAAAAGCTCTCAGTGTGATTACAAGTTCGCCCGAACCATTTGATACCTCGATCATTCAGATCGGTCCACGGACGACGGATGACATTCACAAAAAATACACAAAGAATTATTAATAACGTCCTCTTCAGTTTTTTTAAGTCGGTTAAAAAGTCGGTATAATATCTTAAGACAGTCTTTGATAAAGGTAATTTTAATATCACATGAATAACGTAACGTTTTAAAACAAAAGAATTCAGTAAAGATAAAATCTAAGGACGTGTACGGGGCTTACAGGAAAATGCCACCTCACGAAGTTTTCTTTAATAGCTTATCTCGCTATCAGATCTAAATGCTCATTTATCTTGCCACGTCGGCGCTCAGCGTGCGTGAACGGCACTGAAACAGTATTTTATCTCCTTTTTTAAGAAGAACTTACGTTGAGAATGAATCGGAGATACAAAAAAATTCCGAGGTATTACTTTGGCATGAAGCTATCAGATAAATTATGTTGACTGAGACGGAGATTATCTGTGTAACGGCAAAGTCTACTCTACTTCCTTTATTGTCTTTGATATGCACTACCAAGAAAAGGCTCTAAACTTGAGTTTATCTTTAATATGTAGCTGTACTATCTAGCACCAAAAAAACTTGTCACCCCTCGGTAGGCTCCGCTTGCCATTGTCAGACGGGATTTCCTCGCAGCTGTTTTCTTCAAAGAAACCGATAACCAAAATTTATTTCCACTCGCGCGGTTTAGATGCCTTTGCGTTATTTACGGTCAATAAAGTCTCATTCAAAATCGTCAGTAGTAACACATTTGCTAACATAAACTTAGTCAATTATTGTCCAAGTTGATTCTATTCAAGTAGCTTTAACAATATGATAAGTTACATGAAAGCTCTGACAAGTTTAGTACTTGTGAGATATTTAGTTTTAAACTAAGTATTTAAAGGAAAATTCAATACCTACAATATTTATGTAACCCAATTAACACTCATTTATACTTCTTTTATAATGAACACTAATAGTTACATACACGCAGCAATGAATAAGAAAATAATTCATTGAAGTAACTCATGAATAAAAAGTGGGAATGAATGTAACGAGACCAAGGTCCTATTAAGATTGAGTTGATAAATTAAAAATCATAAATAACGAAAATTTCATCCAAGTACGCCCCAGTACAGACATATTGCTTTACTCCTGGAAAGTAGTTCACAACATAACGAGCCTCGATGTCTATTGAGCCTTTTCATCTTTCACTCGGGTTTCACAATAATTAACCCAGTTCTCACGATTATGATAGCAATTGATCTTATTTCAATTGTACTACAGAGCAAAGCCTGCAAACAGCCGAATACTTGTGAATCAGAACACGTTTTTCAACAAATTTGGTAGAAATCTTGAGCCACTTACATTTTATTGTCTTTTGTTCTTGTGACCACATGGCAGCCAATGAAAAACCCCGACTAATTAACCCGAAATACTAATTGTTTCACGGGGAATAGAATTCGTTTTAGGTTAAACAACATATTCGTTAATCACTAAGCCCCTGTCTGCGGCCGTAATTGTCATTTAAATATTTAAGCCAATTTGTTGTAAAACTCCACCCACGGCAAAAGCCAGATGCTTAAACAAAATTTCGTAATTATAAGTCAGTGTAACAGAGCACACAAGTAGGCTAGGAGAGAGTAAGCAGATGTTTTATTTAATTAACTTTCCGGTTCAAAACTATAAATCAGGCCATATGTGCTTTACAAAAGCAAAAAGTAATATGCAGAGTTGTTTTAATATATGACTAAACACAGTCTGCATAAATGAGAAGCTGGCACTCCATATTTGGACAATTATCACAAGGATGATTTAAATTGATTATTATTTATATTAGTCAACATTTCGACTCCTAGCATTTTTGCTTACGCAATACAAAATATTTTTGACGCTTTGCGGTGGTCGGAAAGTTTATTCGTGCGCAGGATATTTGAGTCAAGTGAAATGGAATTTATGATTAGAATAAAGGTGGTGCATTTCTGGGATAGCTCCAGCGATTGAGCATTCAACGGAGTCTTAAGAGATTGAAATTCAATGAGCCTTTGCTTTCTATTGCAAAGCTAATAGACTCTTCTCATTGTCTAAGAGCAACGTGTGAAACTTAAACATTCCACTCTTTACATGTTTTATTAATAAAATACGTAAAAATATTGTTCCTATTTGATCATTATAATATGATCTATCTGTATTATTACTTCTTGATTTTTATACGTTTATTGGATTTTTTGTTGATTTCTGCTTGTCCACTACTTAAAGAGATTTTGAAAATATTTTACAATTTAACATAATTTTAAATTTATCCGACGTTTCGCGTGCTTTACAGCGTGCGTGGTCACGGTGACTCACCGTGACCACCTAACAATAATTATTATTATAGAATATGCGGCAAATATTTTCTTAGTTTTGATTAATCTGAAGAAATAGCACTGAATTGCATATATACACGTTTCTTAAAATTAACAAATACATAAGATAAAAGATAGACGCAGAAGCAATTATACGACGACAAAATGCAATCAATGCAAAAAGTATTTCGTTAAAATAACTTAGCATTAATGACGTTTTGATGTAAAGGTTTAATGAAATTATATTTTAATAGGTTAACAACGTAGTTTATTCTTATTTAAGGCAAACTCAAAGTATTATTATTGAACACAGGATTGTCATACGACACTTTATAAATTTAAGTTTTTTTCATCTATTAAACATAAATTGATAAGCGAAATTCAGATGTTCGCTGTTTACCACTTCCGTTTATTTAAACTGCTCGATAATTCCCGAAGCATGGGACGTATATTATGGGCGCCAATTTATATATTATGATTATACTGTTACAAAATATATTGATATATAATTTAAGTAAATAAATGTATATGGGTGCATAGATAATGATAATATTATTACAAAATATAAAGATTGATATTTAATTCAAGTAAATAAATAATATTAAGGATTGATAGTCTGTAGTAAATTCATAGCATTTATTATTTATGTTTAAGAAATTGTGTAAGTGTCAGCTGCCATTGTCATTGTCATTTAATAATGTCAAAGTCGAATTGGTTCAAGGCCGTTAGTCAATGTTGCTAGATCTATAAATTAATGTCTATTCAGTGGTCGATAATAATAATGACTCCATAGTCATTATTATTGAAAGAATGAATCATATCACTTTAAACATTTAAAATTTATTTATAATAAATATTAATACAATCTTTGAGATTCAAGTAATAAATAACATATGATTATATTTGTAAGTTACGCCATCTGTTGACGAACTTTGTAAAGTGGCGTTTTGTAATTTAAATAAATTTGTAATTTGTGCAAAATAAATCATTTGGAGTTATGTAAAATTCATTATAATATTAATGTTGATTTTTAAACTATATTTTATAAATGATTGTACAGTAATTTCAATTACATGAATTTAGAGTTGTAAAACGTTAAAATTTAAAATAACAGTTGGTTTATATAAAAAGAACGGCAGGTCACATTTTTGTTCAGTTCGGTGCTAGAAGTCGTGTGATAAATAAAGCAAGTGATATTACGTGTGTGTGTTTATTATAATGGAGTCTGGACGCTATAATTCTGGCGGAACGCCGACAGCAGCGGTGGGATCACAGCCCCAAGTGACTTCGGAATCTTCAAACGACACGACCTTCACAATGGAACAAGTGATGGGTCTCTTGACCTCCATTACGAAGACTGCTGCAACGAGCGCTGTGAAAGCAACGCTATCGACGGACGGTGCAACCCTCCGGCGGCACCATGACTTCTACCTACCACCGTTCAACCCTGATGAGAGATCACATGACATCAGGGACTGGTGCGCTAACGTAGACGAAACTATCACGAAGTTGATGGTCCCTCCACATGAAGCTCGAATGAAGGCCATCCTGCAGTTAAGAGGACGAGCCAAAACATGGGCTGACAGCTGGTCGCTGCATTCAACCACGTGGGAACAAGTGAAGGAGGAGCTGATCCATACGTTTAGCAACGAGTTTCGGTACGCGGATGACGTGCAGAAATGGCGCAACTACACTTCCGACCAAGCGAGCTGCTACGCAGAGTACGCTACAACAGCATGGGCGCTTTTTAAGAGGATTCGACCAGAAGCTACCGACGCCGAGGTTGTGGATGCACTGATCACAGGTATTTGCTCTGAGTTTATTCGATCTGAGTTGCTGAGAAATACCCCCAATTCACTCCCTAAATTAGTATCAGTTCTTAAAACGTTTCGTAAACGTAAAATCGAAAATAGAGAGAGTAAATATGATGTTAAAAAATCACGTGTTACGCTTTCTTCAAAAGATCAAGTCGTTTGTTTCACTTGCAAAAAAACGGGTCATTTGTCCCGGGACTGCCCAGAGAGAAATCCCTCTAAGACTAACGTTATTTCGTCACGGTTTAGTAACAATGATTCCAGTTTTCGTGGCACTCTTAATAATACTAAGGTTATTGAATGTGATTACTGCCATCGTAAGGGTCATTTAGAGAAAAATTGCTACCGCCGTCAAAATGGTGAACGTAATGCACCCATTAAATCTATTAACTGTTGTTCATCAATTAAACGTAGTACAACAAAAGTAATTATTGGTACTAAACAGTATAACTGTCTTTTTGACACTGGTGCAGATTGTTCCTTAATTCGAAAAAGCATTGCCGGTTCAATTCCCGGTAAACGTAAACAAGTTGACGTACAGTTTATGGGCATTGGGGGCCAAAAGGTTATCTCTAAGCAAAGCATTACAACTATGGTAGAAATCGATAATGTCACTTTAGAGCTAGCGTTTTATGTAGTAGGTGACAGTGAAACTCAGTTTGATATTTTAATAGGGTATAATCTTCTAAAAATACCCGGTCTTACCGTTACTCTCAGCGAAAACGATATATCTATTAATCGTAAGTTTATTGTCAATGAGTGTTCAAATTTGACGCCCCCTATTGAAATAGATACCGACCTAACTAACCAATCGCAGATTAATGAAATCTTTTATATCATCAATGAGTTCAAAGATAATTTTACGTCTGGAAATCATGTCTCACGGGTGACAACCGGTGAGTTAAAAATTAGATTAAAAAATCCCGATAAAATTGTACAGCGTCGACCGTATCGTTTGTCTCCTGTAGAACGCGAGAAAGTCAGGGAAATGATTCAAGATTTAAAAGAAAATGGCATAATAAGAGATAGCTCTTCCCCATTCAGCAGCCCAATTTTATTAGTCAAGAAAAAGAACGGGACGGACCGACTTTGTGTTGATTTTCGTGAGTTAAATTCAAATACGGTTCGAGACAATTATCCTTTACCTTTAATAGCGGACCAAATTGATAGATTAGGTAAAGCCCGTTATTACAGCTGCCTAGATATGGCATCTGGCTTTCACGGAATCCCTATATCAGAAGACTCTATTGAAAAAACTGCTTTCGTGACACCAGATGGACAGTTCGAATATTTACGCATGCCTTTCGGTCTTTGCAATGCTCCATCTGTGTACCAACGCTCAATAAATGTTGCCTTAGGTGATTATAAAGATAATATAGCGTTAGTTTATATTGATGATATATTGGTAGTATCTGAATCCGTACAGCAAGGTTTGATCAATTTGAAACTTGTTTTGACTAGATTAACTCGTGCAGGATTTTCATTAAATATTTCCAAATGTTCTTTTCTTAAGACTAAAATTGAATATCTTGGTAACATTGTAGAAAATGGTACTGTTAGGCCAAGCCCAAGAAAAATTCAGGCTTTAACTGAGTCCTCGGTACCTAAAAATGTAAAAGAAGTTAGACAATTTAACGGCTTAGCTGGCTATTTTAGAAAATTTGTTCCTAATTTCTCTAAAATCATGGTCCCTCTCTACAACTTGACTAAATCAAATATTAATTTTAATTGGACCGAAGATCATGAAATTGCTCGACGGAAAATAATTAATATACTCACATCTTCCCCTGTATTAACTATATTCGATCCCAACCTGCCGACTGAGTTGCATACAGACGCCAGCTCTATTGGATATGGTGCTGTACTGATTCAGAGACAAGACAGAAATCCTTTAGTTATAGCCTATTTCAGTATGAGAACTTCAAGTACAGAGAGCAAATATCACTCGTATGAACTGGAGACGCTTGCTGTGGTAAAGGCTATAAAACATTTTCGGCATTTCCTTCATGGCCGGTCATTTAAAGTAGTCACAGATTGTAACTCTTTAAAAGCTTCGAGTCATAAGCGTGATTTAACTCCGAGAGTGCACAGATGGTGGGCATTCTTACAGAATTTTCAATTTGAAATTGAATACCGCAAGGGCAACAAACTTGCGCATGCTGACTTTTTCAGTCGTAACCCGGTTAAACATTATAATGGATGTCATTTAAACCAGTGTTCCAAAATTAATAAACCCAGCTCGTTAGTATGGTCCGTTAATGCTGCTACTCTCGATCATAACTGGCTCCTTATTGAACAAAAGCGCGATTCCACTCTAGCTGATATTGTTGAACAGTTAAAAGGCGATTCAATTCCTAAAACTATTGCAGATACCTATGTTATACTACAGGATAAATTACTAAGGCGGAAAATACAAATAAATAACAAGACGCATAAGTTAATCATAGTCCCACGTAATTATAGATGGAATCTTATTTCCCATTACCATGATAACCTCCAACACTTTGGATGGGATAAAGTCCTTGCAAAATTACGAGAGCAGTATTGGTTCCCTAATATGACCAAGTTAGTTAGAAAATTTGTAGAAAACTGTGTTATGTGTAGAGTTAGAAAAGGTGTATCGGGTGCTAGACAGGTAGCTCTACATCCTATTGACAAAATAGCTATACCTTTTCATACTGTGCATGCGGATATAACTGGCAGAATGAACGGCAAACGCAATGAACCCGAATATGCTTTTGTATTTATCGATGGTTTCACTAAGTATGTCCATATGACCTATACTAACGATCGCACAAGCGATACAGCAATTAAATGTTTTTTAAATCTAATTACAATATTCGGCACCCCATCGCGATTAATTACTGACCAAGATAAAAGCATGACTTCTACAGATTTTAAAAACTTTTGTGAACAATATGGAATTCAACATCATGTTGTAGCAAAGGGAGCTAGTAGGGCCAACGGACAGGTCGAGCGATTGATGAAAGTTATAAAGGATAACATGTCTATTATAGAAATTAGTAGGCCTTGGCACACAGCCTTACAAGAATTACAACTAGCGATAAACTGCACGGTTTCAAAGAGTACAGGTAAAAGTCCCATGGAATTATTATTAGGAAAAAAATGTTCCCCACCTGCCATTAAGATATTGCAAATTGACGATGACGAACAGACAGACGACTTAAACGAAGTTAGATTTCTTGCTAAAAAGCGGATGGACGAGCGGTCCCTTAGTGATAAATCACGTTTTGATAAAGGTAAAGCCACAATACACCCTTTTAAGGTAGGTGATTTTGTCTTAATGCGGCGCCACGAACGCCACACTACTAAGTTAGGCTGTAAATTTGAAGGCCCAATGGAAATTTTACAAGTATTACCCAATGATCGATACCGGCTTAAGCATATTAACCTTCGCGGCTGTTCAGAAAAGATAGCAAGTCACGATGCCTTACGTCCCGCCCCCATAGCTCAATCAGACCCTTTGGATTACTCTAGCAATTCAGACGAATTGACCGCATGGGCGGAGGATTCGTCAGAGACCGATTTAAGAGAGGAGGCTTCTACCTCCTCCTAACCTGACGTTGTTGGACCTAGGTAATTGCATTATATTTATATAACTTTCATGGTGAAAGATGATGTTTATTTTATGTATGCGCATTGATGTGTTTATACAAAATATTATATTTTTCCTATCCAAAACATCCTTCCTAAAACGCTGGCTGGCCACCATGCGTATCCTTGCTCCTGGTCTGGTTGGCTAGATCTCGAAATGAGTGATGCCTTATGTGTTGGCTAGATCTCTAAATGAGTGATGCCTTATGTGTTGGCTAGATCTCTAAATGAGTGATGCCTTATGTGTTGGCTAGATCTCTAAATGAGTGATGCCTTATGTGTTGGCTAGATCTCGTAATGAGTGATGCCTTGTTTAAAAGTTGTAGCCATCTAAAACAGCGCAAGGGACGCGCTGGAGTCAGTATGGCCGTATGGGCGCCAATTTATATATTATGATTATACTGTTACAAAATATATTGATATATAATTTAAGTAAATAAATGTATATGGGTGCATAGATAATGATAATATTATTACAAAATATAAAGATTGATATTTAATTCAAGTAAATAAATAATATTAAGGATTGATAGTCTGTAGTAAATTCATAGCATTTATTATTTATGTTTAAGAAATTGTGTAAGTGTCAGCTGCCATTGTCATTGTCATTTAATAATGTCAAAGTCGAATTGGTTCAAGGCCGTTAGTCAATGTTGCTAGATCTATAAATTAATGTCTATTCAGTGGTCGATAATAATAATGACTCCATAGTCATTATTATTGAAAGAATGAATCATATCACTTTAAACATTTAAAATTTATTTATAATAAATATTAATACAATCTTTGAGATTCAAGTAATAAATAACATATGATTATATTTGTAAGTTACGCCATCTGTTGACGAACTTTGTAAAGTGGCGTTTTGTAATTTAAATAAATTTGTAATTTGTGCAAAATAAATCATTTGGAGTTATGTAAAATTCATTATAATATTAATGTTGATTTTTAAACTATATTTTATAAATGATTGTACAGTAATTTCAATTACATGAATTTAGAGTTGTAAAACGTTAAAATTTAAAATAACAGTTGGTTTATATAAAAGAACGGCAGGTCACATTTTTGTTCAGTTCGGTGCTAGAAGTCGTGTGATAAATAAAGCAAGTGATATTACGTGTGTGTGTTTATTATAATGGAGTCTGGGCGCTATAATTCTGGCGGAACGCCGACGTATATTATGCAATCTGTACAATTCAGACACGTTCCAAAGGGCTCCGATGCTGTTGGTTTAGTGGCAGATGTGACATTTCATTTTAAGCTCCAAACTGGGATGATTACACTCGTTCAACGCCACTGACCTAGATTTTAGAAGTGCTGGCAGCAGCCGGTAGGATATTGTTCAATAACATCATAAGTTAATGGATTGTAGAGCACGGATCGTAATTTATATGAAAGAGATGATATCGATTCACGGATACGGTATTTAGAACATTATTGTTTAGTCTCCGGACTTTACATCTTACTCCGGACTTAGTTTACAATCGTCTGATTGTGAAGGACTGATAATAACATTTCATCGCGTATTACATTACATACATTCTTATTTACTAATAGATTAAAAATCAATTCGGTAAAAATAAAAGCAACACTCACAATTTCTCGTGATGTATTCAGTCAAACTTGTAGAAGTTTAGCGGATACTTCCCAGAAATATAATGCTAATCACAAAGTTATATTTACTCTGTGCAATATATTTTCGTCTTTCATAAAACTGATGTCTTATGTAGATGTGCGTGTAACGGGTTATTGCCTAGAAAAGCTAAGAAAAGAAGAAAAGAAAAACTTTACTATACACAAAAAAAGGATATTTAGGTGAAATAAATACACTAGGATTCCCTGTCTCTTTCTTTCTAGTCTTTAGTCTCTTTCTTTTGACATGTTAACGGTAATTGACAATAACCTCTATATAACACATTTTATTTACTGTTTAGCATAGGACAGGTTGAGATGTTGTTTAAAGTTTTTAGTGAATGTATTAAATGTGAGTTTTGAAATGTTAGTGAAAATTTTGTTTTTAAGAAAGTGGTTAAATATGTTAGTGAATTTTTTGGGTTGTTATTAGATCATCATTTTATTTTAAAACAATTTTGTTTTTAACATTACAACTATATCCCTTGATTTAATTAAATAATTTTGATAGCCATTACGATTTTTTTGTTATAAGGTATAAGTCTTCATATGTGTTGGGAATTGACAGTAATTTTGTGTACTTATGAGTGGAATCAGTGAAATAAAAAGAAATGAGGGCGACACAATCAAGGATTATTACCCAGAGTAATGCCGTTGCTTCAAATGTCGCAAAAAGCCCGTGCTGCTTACGCATATATGGGTGGAAGTGAAAAATTCGGTTGCAGAAGGCCCTTAAAAGATAGATTTTACTGAATTGTCTAAATAAAATAATTAAAATGTTAATTACTTTTATATTTTCTCATTATAAGATTCACTATCTAACATATAAGTTTTGCTATCAATAGTTTTACATTTCTTTGAAATATTTTTTATTCAAACCTAACAGTTGTTCGCACGACCAATTTTACTTTCACTACAAAAACCTCGTCGCCCAACCTTAATGCATTCAATTTACAGTAAGAGGAGATCGTAACAACCTTTTACAAACATTAGAGCTTACTATGAAAGCGAATGTTCAGGAAAATTATCTCAAGACAAAGGCAAATGACACGAGAACTCAGCGTTATGTTTTTGTTAACACTATTAATTATTATAGACATCTGTTTTTACTAACAGTATGGCTAAAGGGTGAATGATTTTATCTCTCGGTAGTTGAACTCGATTCCTCTAAGCGTGAACATGGAAGGATGGAACAATGGAGTCACTCAAAATTTGCGTGGACAGGCTCATATGTAAACTCATATACAAAATTATAAATAAATTAACAAAATATTCATTAAGAAATATTGATACATTATGTTCAATACAACCAAGGACTCATTACGGAAAACTTAATATTATGTATCAAGGCGAACAAATATTTAATACATTACCATCCAGATTAAAAGAAATAAAACCTTTTTACAAATTTGAAAAACTTTTAATAGTACATATATTTTACAACATACCTATAAAATAACGAAAAAAAAACAAACATATTCTATATCTGTGTCTGTAAAAATCGTAAATGTTCAATATAAATTAATGGAATAATTAATGTATTTACAAAACATCAAAAAGGCCCTTCTACCATTTACTTATGTCTGTGAACGAGCGTCTAAGAAATTATGACTATTCATTAGTCACATAATGCCTGTTGTAACATCGATGCGACCTACCTGCACTTTTGTAAAAAATATGGTACATATTGTTAGAAACTAATATTTTTATTTTATATAGATTATTTTCAAATAATTTCATAACACGATGTACATAACTAACTTACTCGAAATTTCCTCGCTAAGTGAATGTAATTCTTTGAGAAATAAAGTATCTTTGAACCGAACTAACAACTTGAAAATGCTTACCGTAGAAAAATACTTCTGTATTTAGGTAGATAAGATAATATTTACATTTTCTACTATTTGCGTTTAAACCCTTACTTCGAAGTAAGCTAATTAAACTTATTTAGATCAACTTACAAGGAATAATTAATCAAAAGATAATATTATGTTAAGAAACTACTGACTGCTATGGATGTAAATTGAATAACGGCTACGAAGATCCAAAACAAAAATGGTGTACAAAGTAATTATACTCGTTTATAACGAGATGTAAAGTATTTTACAGTTCATGCTGCTTATCAACAAACTTTTAAATTGTTCGCTTTATACAAACGCTGTGAAAATGCGTAGACGAACTTTGTAATTCTAAATGCATTAATTTATTGAGCATTTGGGCTGATGTGTTTCATCTGTACTCAGAAAATTGAGTGCTGTGGCAACTGTTTGTTAACACTAGCTAAGTTAGTTAAGAAAGGAAAATTGTGCAATAACTATACCTATATAATTAAATATTCTAGTTTTCGATAAGCGCGTAATGGCAAGTTTCAATTTCAAGAAGCTCGAAATAGTTTTAATCTTTTAGATCTATTTACCAGATTATTTTAATATTTCGTTATAGCACACGTCTTTTTAACTTACTATTTCCGGCGTGATTTGCAATCGCTATTACAAATTGGTTTATATATTCAAAATACCCAGAACGCTACTTTTATTTTCTGTTGCCAGCCGACAGTCAATTGTTTAGAGTAAATTCGATTTAAGATAGCAATGGTAATTAAGACTCAAGCGTTCGCAGTAAACAGAAGACGTCTACGGCTACTAGAATTCAATTTTCATAGAAAACTGGTGTATGAAGTTATGGTTGGAGCTTGTAGTTTATTGTTTATCAGAATGCCAAATAATAAAATGACTGCTTTACGACTGATTTGAGAGCGACCGCCGATGCGAAAACCGCTGTGTGAGTTCGAAAAGTGAGTTACAGAATCGCAGGGCTCAAAATAGAGACTGTTGTAAAAGGAAATAAAAAAATAGAACGGAGCTTAATGTTGAGGTGCCGATAATAAGATCTAAGAAACCCTAACGGTGCTCAGTGCAGTATAATCTTTCCATTAACATATTTTCTAGTATCCATTGCAAAGCCGCTTGTGCAACTTTCAAGAATTTTAGTTATTGAGTGAAGGAACATATGTAATTATACATTTTTATAAAGTTATAATATATTATATGCATCTATTTGGTGCGATACCAGTATTTGTAGCAGTATTATATTGCTTTTTGATATTAATAAACTTTCATAAATGTAACAACAAGCTTAATAAGAAACCAGTTTATAAACTACATACTTAGACCGAACGTGGTCAATAAGTAATCCTAATTCCACGTTCAGATTGTTTAAATTATGATACATTTAACGTATAAGATTCATAAATATTTTCTGAGTATCTTTAATTGTATCAGAAATTAACTTATAAATTAATGCCTAGAAACGATTTCAAAAAGCTAATTC